AGAATATTTGATAAATTCAAAACCACATGAATTCACCTGCCTATGTCCAAAATCAGCATATCAAGTAAATACAATATGAGGCTATGGAGAATTTTAATATGTAAAACCTTCGTATTCAGTTTTTCTCTTAGCTGTTCTCGAAAAAATTCCAGATAACTTTATTTTTTAAACTATTAATTTATTAATTAATTACAATAGCAATAAAAAAGGAAGTTTTGATCTGATATATAGCATAATGTATGTTGATGCTGGGCATCTCTAGGCATTTGAAATTGTGATCCTTCATGGGAGAAAAAAAGAGGACCAAGAATGGAACTTTATGGAGTAGCAACCATTTTGGATATTGGCTGTGTTAAGGAAACTCAAAAAGAATAACCAGAGATGTTTCAAGAGTACTAGGAGATGGGGCTGGGTTATGGTTCAGCGGTAGAGCGCTTGCCTCCCACTTGCAAGGTCCTGGATTCAATCCTCAGCACCACATAATAAATAAATAAATAGATAAATAAAGTTATTTTAAAAAAAGAGTACAAGGAGAAAACAATGCTGGAGGCATCATGGAAAATATAGTCATGAAGAAGGAAGTAATCATATAGAAACTAACCATACAAGTGTTAGGTCTTCAAGGTGAAGAATCTGGGACCTGAAAATTCCTTAGAAATAGCTAATAACTGCTACTTTGGTGAATTCATTTATGAATTCCAAAAGTTTTCTGGTAGAATTTTTTGGATTTTTCTAAATATAGAATTATGTTGTTGGCAAATAGGGATAGTTTGAGTTCTTCTTTTCCTATTCATATACCTTTAATTTCTTTCTTCTAATTGCTCTGGCTAGAGTTTCAGGGATAATATTGAGTAAAAGTGGTGAAATAGCCGGGAGCACTGACATACACCTGTAATCCCAGCAGCTTGGGAGGCTGAGACAGGAAGATGGCAAGTTCAAAGCCAGCCTCAGCAGAAAACGTGGTGCTAGGCAAATCAGTGAGATCCTGTCTCTAAATAAAATACAAAAATGAGCTTGGGATGTGGCTCAGTGATCAAGTGTCCCTGAGTTCAATCCCTAGTACCCCCTACCCCCCCACACACATACACAAAAAAAAAGTGAAAGAGGGCATCCTTGTCTTTTTCCAGTTTTTAGAGGAAATGCTTTCAGTTTTTCTCTATTTAGAATGATGTTGGCCTTGGGTTTAGCATATATAGCTTTTACATAAATTAAATGCATTCCTATACATCAGTGATGAAGCCACTGAAAGAGAAATTAGGGAAATTACCCCATTCACAGTAGTCTAAAAAAAAAAAAACTGGGAATCAATCTAACAAAAGAGGTGAAAGACCTCTACAATGAAAACTACAAAACTGAAGCAGCAGGCATCACATACTCAAAAGAAATTGAAGACCTTAAAAGATGGAAAGATCTCCCATGTTCTTGGATAGACAGAATTAACATTCTCAAAATGGCCATACTACCAAAAGCACTATACAGATTTAATGAAATTCTTAATAAAATTCCAACAACATTCTTCATAGAAATAGAAATAGAAAAAGCAATCATGAAATTCATTTGGAAAAATAAGAGACCAAGAATAGTCAAAGCAATCCTTAGCGAGAAGACTGAAGCAGCAGGCATCACAACACCAGACCTTAAATTATACTACAGAGCAATAATAACAAATACATCACTGTATCGGCACCAAAATAGATATGTAGACTGGTGGTACAGAATACAAGATACAGAGACAAACCCACATAAATGCAGTTATCTCATTCTCGACAAAGGCACCAAAAACATACGTTGGAGAAAAGATAGCCACTTCAGCAAATGTGCTGGGAAAACTGGAAATCCGTATGTAGCAAAATGAAATTAAACCCCTGTCTTTCAAACTGCACAAAACTCAATGTGGGTCAAGTACTTAGACCTTAGACTTGAGACCCTGAGCCTGATAGAAGAAAAAGTAAGCCAAATCTCCATCATGTTGGTTTAGGAACTGAATTCCTCAACAAGACTCCTAAAGCGCAAGAAGTAAAATCAAGAATCAAATAAATGGGATGGATTCAAACTAAAAAGTTTTTTTCCTCAGCAAAGGAAACAATCAAGAACAAGAAGAGACAGCCTACGGAATGGGAGAAAGTCTTTGCCACTTGCATCTCAGATAGAGATTAATCTTCAGGATATATAAAGAACTCAAAAAACTTAACACCAAAAAAACCAAATAACCCAATCAATAAATGGGCTAAGGATCTGAACAGACACTTCATAGAAGAAGAAGAAGACTAGTCAAGAAACATATGAGAAATGTTCAACATCTCTAGCAATTAGAGAAATGCAAATCAAAACTACACAGAGATTTCATCTCACTCCAGTCAGAATGGCTATTATCAAGAATATAAGCAACAGTAAAGGTTGGCGAGGATGTAGGGAAGAAGTGCACTCATACATTGCTGGTAGGGCTGTAAATTGGTGTGACCACTATGAAAAGCAGTATGGAGATTCCTCAGAAAACTTGGAATGGAACCACCATTTGACCCAGTTATCCCACTTCTCAGTTTATACTCAAAGGACTTAAAATCAGCATACTACAGTGGCATGGCCATGTCAATGTTTATAGCAGCTTAATTCACAATAGCTAAGCTATGGGACCAACTTAGGTGCCCTTCAATAGATGAATGGATAAAGAAATACACAATGGAAAATATTCAGCCATGAGGATGAATGAAATTATGGCATTTGCTGGTAAATGGTTGAAAACTGGAGACTATCATACTAAGTGAAATAAGCCAATCCCCCAAAACTGAAGGCTGAATATTTTGTCTGATATGCAGATGCTAATTCACAATTAGTGAGGGGAGAGGTTAGGGAAGAATAGAAGTATTTTGGATTAGACAAAGGAGAATGAAGGAAAGGGGGAAGGAGAATGGAATAGGAAAGATAGTAGAATAAATCTGACATTACTATCCTATGTGCATATATGATTACATGACCAATGTAATTCTACATCATGTAGAACCAGATGAATGAGAAGTTATACTCCATATATATAGATGTCAAAATACATTCTACTATTATGTATAACTAATTAGAAGAAATAAAAAATTATATAAGGCTGGGCATGATTGTGCATGCCTGTAATCCCAGTAGCTTGGAAGGCTGAAGCATTAGGATCATGAGTTCAAAGCCAGCTTCATAACTCGAGGTGTTAAGCAACTCAGTGAGACCCTGCTTCTAAATAAAATACAAAATAGGACTGGGGATGTGGCTCAGTGGTCGAGTTACCCTGTATTAGATCCCCATATATATATATGATTGCATACATATATATACATTATTAATGTATATATATATACATTACGTACATATTTATGATTTCATACACGTATATTTATCACTATAAAGGGAAGAAAGAAAGAAATAGCTAATACTCCTTTCTTCTGGAACACAACAAAAGGTGAGTTGTCCCCTGATTGGTTTTTCCAGTGAGAGCAAGAATGACTATTAGAGAAGGAGATTGCTGCTTATTTACACAAATGCTCAATTTAAACCTCTTTTATAGACTGACATGAGCGGGGGACTTCACCTCTGCAGTTTATTTTGTTGTTTTGTCCAAAACCTAAGTTCACAGTCTAATTGTGTGAAAAACATCAGATAAATACAAATTAAGAGGTGTGCTACAAAATATCTGATAAGTCCGTTCTCAAGACTGTTCAGGTATGGAAAAGCAAGCATGACTGAGAAGTTGTTGCAGACCAGGATAGATGATGATTGAATTCATTGTGATATCCTGGGTGGGATTTTGGATTCTGAAAAGGACATTAGTGTAAAAAACTGGTGAAATATTAATAACATCTGGAGTTTAGTTAAAAATAGTACATTAATATTAGTTTCTTAGTTTTTACAAGTGTATCATAGTAGTGTAAGACTTTAGAAATGGGGAAACTGGGTGAGAGGTATAGAGGAACTGCCTGTACAATATTTGTGACGTTCGTAACTCTTAAATTATTCCAAAATAAAAGTTCTAGTTAACAACAAAAGCTATGGGAAGCAAGTGGAGTTTGGAGGATAGTGGCTAAGTCTTGTGCCCTTCCTTTTCCTGCTCCTATCTTCTGGATGAGGCCAGCAATCCAGGGCATGGCAGAAGGTAGAATCTTTCTCTTTTACCTTGCCTTTTCTTTCACTCAGCTTTCTCATACGGACTTCAAAGATACTTTTGGGTTAATGGAAGAAACACTCAATAGGGCTTAATTTGAAAACTGAATTGCAAAATTCTTTCCCAGTCAACTCAGATCTTCATTCAATCAGACAGTTTGAAATTAAATGGAAGTGTCTGATTTTTCTTGCAGATCATGTGAACGCTATCCCCCAAATAATAGGCAGAGTGACTTTATTGTTATTATATCACAAAACAACTAGAGCATTAATTCTAGACCCTTTCTTTAAGAAAATGTTAGAATAATATAATGCACTATCAAAATGCTTTTTTTTCCAGTCTCAAAGTTTTCATTCTAGAACTTTCAAATAAGTTATATTGTCTATTTTTTCCATAAGAATAAAAATCTTTATTTGGGGTAACTTTTTAGAACTTTGTGCCAAAGAGTATGGAGAATTATACTTTTTCAATAGTTAAGTTAACCAGGAATGTGTTGGCAAAATTATGCTGAATAACAAAAGAGTTACTTAAAAGAGGTTTCTGAAGTATGATGTTATAAATATATAATGATGTTCCAATTTGTTTTTTCATATTTTTTTGGAAGTTGTTTTTTAGAACTTGGCTAATGGATGTGGGATGATGCCATTTCTTGTTTTTTCGAGTAGCAGGAGGAAATTACAGGATTTAAACAGTGCTGGTGGGAAAAGTATCTGGCTATGTGAAAATAACAAAGTAAAATGTTTTCATATGGATGAATATGGTTTGAAAGAGGAATGTCTAAATGAAATGCACTTTTTTATAAAGTTGAGCAATAAATAGGCTTTTGATTTACATTTTTGTACTTAATTTTTTTTTCTTGTAGCATGTACTCAAAAGAATAGTTGTCAGTTGTGCACAGAAGATAAGAAAGTAAGTTAACTTTCTTATGAGGCAATTGTCTTGGGAATGTTATAAATTCACACATTTATAATTGTCATCAAAAAGTTATGCTAAATGTTGTTTTATACACTTTTTTTATAAAGGAATAACTAATAACAGTTACTAAAATCTATTTCTCCATTTCAAATCATGCTTTGAGAGTCTAGAAATAAATAATGGAAATAATTTAGATGGAATATGTACTTTCTTCTAGAATATTATATTTTAGAAAGAAAACAATTCTTGGCTTGAAAAAGGAAATCACACTGAAATTTTGGAAGAAGTTTTGGAAGAAAAGAAAATATGTCTTTTGAGATTCAGTGAATATTTCCTTGCCAATTCTAATCCCTAAAGAATAGAGTGTGACACACAGTTCCTCACTCACAAAGTAGCTAAGGTCCTCTTCTCTGATTATTAAATGTCTGACATCTTTATTCTTCACTTCAGATTTGGAAGAAATTAGAAATACCAGAGGCAATGAGGGAAATGGTATTACTTGTGCCACAGAGAGCTTTGCAGCAACCCTTACAAAACCATTCTAGTCTAATCTATATTGGAGAATTGACTATTAACACCAAAGACAAAAGAAAAAACTCTAATTAGCAAAGAGGACATTCTAGTAATTGGTATCTGTCATGGTGATCTGCACATACCACGCTGTGCCTCTTCTCTTCCTCCAGGTCACTCTTCTGCTTTAATGAGGACTTGAGCTTCTTTTGGCTCATGGAATTCTTGGTCCAGTTTATTCTTGGCCTTGGAAACTTTCTGAAGCCAGAAAAAGCCTAGAAACACTCTATCTCAGTGTCTTCACCTTCTCAACACCATGCATAGGATATCACTATAGGATATCACTTCCACCACATACTCTGAACCCTGCACAATTTACACTGAACATCACTTTCCCATTTCCCGACATGGTACCTACTCTTTGGACTTAACAAGAAAGAGTACTTTTCAGTCCTTTCACCCTCTCCTTTTTCCTTCAAGATTATTGACTCTTTCTTAATGGACTTCCTTCCTCCCTTCCTTCCTTGTGAATTTTCATGGCTGTTCACCTGGATGGAATATTCTCCTGCTTTTTCATTGCTAAATATTTTACACTGGAAATATTCAAATGTGTAAAAATAGAGAAAACAGAGCTAGGCACTGTGGTGTGTGACTACAGTCCCAACTACTTGGGAGGCTGTGGCAGGAGGATCACTTGAGCCCAGGAGTTCAAGGGCAGCCTGGTAACAAAGCAAGACCCCGTCTCAAAAACAACAATAACCTGGCATGATGGTGCACTCCTGTAATCCCAGTGGCTTGGGAGGCTGAGGCAGGAGGATCATGAGTTCAAAACCAGCCTCAGCAAATTAGCAAGGCCCTAAACAATTTAGTGAGACCCTGTCTCTAAAGGACTGAAGATGGGCTCAGTGGTTAAGTGCTCCTGGGTTCCTGGGTTCAATCCCCAGTGCCAAAACAAAAATCTAACAAAAAGTGTGTGTGTGAAGAGAGACAGAATAGTATAATAAAATTTTATACATCCTATACCTCCAAGAATTATCTCAGTCAACCTTGTTTCATCTATGCCCTCCCTCCCACAATTGATTATTTTGAACTAAATAATGATGTAGATACCATATCATTTATTTGTAAATATATAGGTATGTATGTCTAATACATAAGGTCTTTACTTTAAAATATTACAAGTCCATGATCACACCTAGAAATTAACAGTGACTTCTTAAATATCATCAAATTCCCAGGAAATAACCAATTAGCCTTATTTCATGTTTTTGTTTAGTTCAGATATATATGCTGAAACTGACTGCTATATAACTTAAGTTTCTTTTAAACTATTTATTCTTTTCCCTCTGTTTTTTTTCTTTATTACAACTTAATTGTGACAGAAGCTAAATTGTTTGTCCCATTGGGTTTCCTACAGTCTGGGTTTTGCTGATCACATCCAGGTTCGTCTTTTCCCTGATTTTTTTTTCTTGATACTAGGGATGGAGTCCAGGGTCTTGCATATGCTAGGCAAATTGTCTACCACTAAACTATGCCCCTGGCTCTTTTTAGTTTTATTTCGAGACAGAATCTCCTTAAGTTGCCCAAGCTGGCCTTGAACTTGTGATCTTCCTACCTCAGCCTCCTGAATAGCTGGGGTTATAGGTGTTCTCAGCTGTTCTGTTCTTATAAACTGGTAATTAGATATAGAGGATTAATAAAGTTCAGTTTAATTTTTTGGCAGGAATATTTCACATTGAAAACTTTTATTGAAAGGTGAATGAGGACTGTTGTTTAGCATTTGATGATGCAAGCAGCCAAAAATGATTCTTGCCTGAATCCATTATATTCTTGGGGGTTACAACAACAACTACTACTTTAATAGCCTTGCCCTCTTATTTTTAACCGTGCTGGATCTATATTTCCCAGCTCTGATGGGTCCTTCAGTCTATGTATTCATTTACTGTGCATTGTTAGCTGATTGCTGCTCAAGCATATATCATGAGAATCTGCATTAGTACCATTACAAATTCACAGTTTCTGGGTTCACCTGAGCCCAAATCTACTCAGTACTTGCCTTTGGTTGGCAGCGTTTCCTAAAATTCCCCATAGCAGTAATTTCAAAACTTTGTGACCATCTTTAAAGGTCCAATCTTATCCCACACCCCATTAATCTACATAAAAATAGAGACTTTAGGTATAAACTTCACTCCCCAAATCAATACATTTACTGTCATTTTTTACCCACCCTTACCATTCCTCTTAGAAGATTACTCCTCCTGTTCCCCTACACCTCTCTTTTGAACTTACATACATTTTTTTATTGTAACTTGTATCATATAAATTGTTTTTATTCTCACTTTCCCTCTGTTCTCAGTTCCCTGGACTGTCTACGGTTTAGTCATCTTTGCATCTGTAACATTTCACATATTTCCTAGCACCTGCAAGCATTCAGTAACTACTGAATTAACTCAAACCATTAGAAGAAGTTAAATAACATTTAGTACACTGTATAATGGAAAAAGGTTGATAATTTTATCCTAAAACTTTTCTAAACATAAGTGTCTATATGGCAATTCTGGGGATAGTTTTTAAAATATTACCAGTACCTCATAGAAATTAACTGAAGGATAATTCCCATAGTCAACATAGAATTAGGGTATCATCTTTTGAAAAAGATTCCCTGTCCTCCCCCGATTTGGAAGGACACAGGCTTTCACTAACAGCTCTTGCCACCTCCCAAACCCCCAGAGAGAGTGCCAGGATTTATAGATGGTAATTCATGAAGCAACCAAGAATACTTGAGTTCTTCTTGGACTAAAAAAAGGATGAACAGATGTTGTGATATGTCTGGGACTGTCCTACTTTATGTCCTTTGCTTCATTGACCCAGAGAAATTATTTATACCCACTGCTAGTTTCCCAAAGTATTCTACTTAGAATGATAAATTATATGCTTATCTTTCTTAGCTGTAAGAGAATATTAACTGGATCCAGTCTAAAACTTTTCCTTGAAATTAAAAAGTGTAGGCAGACCTTCTTAAGAGTTAGAATATATTCTTACCAGAACCAAATCCACAAAAAAGCAACTCATTCATAACCCTACCTCACAACACATTAGTCATAAATACACTATGTGAAAAGAAAATTTTTGTTGATATATTCTTCTCCATTATTAATAAAATTTCTAAAGCCATACTGACTAAAACAGGCTAAACGCTGCTTTACTTGGATCCTCATTGCTATTTAGAGTTGTTATGCATCACTGTGAAATCCTTTAAATAGTTCTTAATTGTGATGTTACAATGGTGAGATGGTCATAAATAATTTTTATTTTTTGCTAATGAGAGTTATAAGACTAAGTTTTGCAACTGACTTTAAAAATAAGAGTAGATCCTAGGCTTTCTTCATAATCAAATCTTTCTACTTATTGCATCCTGATATGGATTATTAGGACAGAAAGGTGTGAAGTTACAACAATCCTAATGGACTTGTGAATCTCCCACAGTCTACCTTATCTACTTAATAGTTCAAATAAAATGACCATTACTTATATGTTTGTAAAATATAAATGCCACAACTCCTACCCAACAACGATACCCATTTTGTTATCTATTTTTCTGAAAAAGTATGTGTACATAGGCACAAATGCTTGTGATAGTTAGGACATGGAGTAGGGGAAGGTGAATAGGGCTATGGATCCAAATCTGGATATGCCAGTGTGTATGTGGGTATCACCTGTCAAAAGTCCCTAAGTGGATGGGGTGGGAATCAGTCTCAAGGATTATTTTCCATGGCACTATTCCCAACACCTTCAACACCTTTCCTTAATCTTGGTATGACACTTCTTCTGAAGTTTGATTTTCCTTGAGAATGTTAAGGCCATTTGTCAGGCTTAGGTTCTATTATTATTATTATTATTATTATTATTATTATTTTCACCAACTCAATGTCTTTTCTCTTACTCTTTCCCTTTAAGAAACCTATTTTCATTCCCAAGGCTAATCTCTTAGTCTTTGCCTCTATGCAAGCATTCCACTCAGAAACATGCACATTCACAAACTCAAAGCCTTTCTCATTTTCTTGTTGCCTCTCTGACAAATCCAGTCTAAATCCAGTCTCTGCAATGTCTTTCTTTCGGAGTTCTGACAAACTGTGGTGGTGGTGGGGGGGACACACACACATTAAAAAAAAAAAATTTTTAATAGCTATAATATTTATTCTACCACTGCTTGTCATGCAGTGTGATGGAATATTTAGCAAACTGTTTTAAAGGTTACCAAAAAACTCTCTATAACCCTAATCTTTCTAGTTAGGCACTCATCATTCTGGAAACTTGCTCCTTCCCTGGTGATCTTCACTTTATACACTGCCCTACTTCTTACCTGGACACGGTTTCCCTTGCCAATCCTTCTTATTTGTATTCCTATCTGAGAGCACATCCTAGTACTGTGTCCTCATCCCTTTGCTATCCCAACTGGTCATGGCTTCCATGATTATGTAAGTATCAAGAAACCCCAAATTCATGTTCTTAGATCTAACAGCTCTTGGTAGTCATGATTACATTGCTTGATCAACAATTATTCTTGGATAATTTCTTTTATCACCTCAAGCTCAAGGTATCTAAAGCTAGATTTATGATTTTGTCTCCCACAAATATGCTCATTTCCCATATTTCTTTATTAATGGTACCATTCTCCATACCCATATAATAATTTTAGAAATCTCTAGCTCCTTTGTCTTCTTTAAAACATCTGTGGTCCATTCTTTTCTTTCAGCTGATTGCTGGACTTCCCACACCCCATCCCACTACTGCTCATCCCTCCAGCCCCTTTTGGTTTATTGTTGTCATTTAACGCTCTTTCATGTTCACCTTTAGCTGCAAATAATTCAGTTGTTAAGATGAAATGCTCTTTATTCTAATATTCAGGACCCATCACAATCCAAGAGAAGATGATCCTTCCAAATTATTCTATACAACTCCACCATAGCAGACTTTCCCTCTTGCCATGTGGCAAGACTTTCATGCTGTCATCTCTTCTGTATTTTCTGTACACATTTGACCCACTCCTCAAGACTTAGGCCAAACCTCTCCTTATTCTTTGAAAGAAACCTTGTGTAGTCACTCCAGCTAAAAGTGAGCTCTCCTCTTAATTCCTATTACATTTTGTACATGTTCCAACACTTTGAGAGAATATTCTTCCACTTAGAAATGTATGTAATTTTGTAAAGTGTACATATTTTACCCACCCATTAAATTGACCCTCCAGAAAACAAAAACAGTGCTTTGTACACCTGTAATCTCTTCTGCATCTAACATTTACCAATATATATCCTGTAAATGCTCTTTTTTGTGTTCAGTGTCCACTGTTTTCAAATCCCCCTTTGTATAATAATACTCATTTTCTATTTCTTTGCCAATATAATATTAAGCCATTTGATACAATGTTAACAAACTACTAAACATAATGGTGTACCTTCCCTATTTGCAATTTTTTCATTTCAGTGATATTTCTTCATTAAATAGAGATTTCAGTGTCCATATAAGCTTACTAAAACAGGCTTCTACCCTAAATTGGGTACTCTAATTTTCCTAAAGGGCAATTATAATAATTACCCTAAAGCCTTTCAGCTGGCTTCTCAGTTGTTACACTAATAAGAGATGGGAGGTTGGTAAGACTCTTTATATGGGTCTTCTTCCTTACCTACAAGAAAAAGATCCTTGTAATTTGTCCTAAATTATACATTACCAGTCTCAGGATGTTGAATATGTTATAATTTTCCTCTGGACAATGAGTGTGAAGTTGTCATTTTTGAGGACATTTTAGACTTAGTCAAGATAGTTAAGGTATCACATTTTTGTTGTGGTAAGTGGGAGAAGCCAATGCAAACTAATTTAATCAAAAGGGGAATTCACTGGCCCAAAAAATTGGGTAGCCTTATTTCATGTTCAGTTGAATCTCAAAGGATATTATTTGCATTTCTCTTTCCTTTCCTCTCTCCTGTGTATTGACCTCATTTTCTCCCACAGTAAATGGGCATTCTCCATACAGCTGTATAAGAGGCTGGCTGCCAGCAAATATCTCCCAGTGTCTGTATATAACTCTGAAGAAGAATATAATTGGCCATATTTGGACCTATGTTCAGTCCAGCACTAGCTACTGGGCCAAAGTCTAGGCTACTCTTGAGTGCCCTGGTCAAATGACCACTCTAATAGTAGGAAATGGGTAAGGCAAAGATGACTGACAGCTAGCTGCAGGATCATACAGAATTAGGGAAAGAATTTCACAAAGGATAAGGGTATGATTATCAGAAAAAGGAGAATAGGAATGCAAAACAGAGAATATTTAAAAAGAAAAGGAATAAAACTACTTCAATCTATGGTATTTCACCCTTTTCCCGGTCAGAACATGAGTATTTTATTTTCGTCATTCCCATACTTTGAAAAGTGCTCCTAGAAAATTAATGCCACTAAGTCTCAACTAAAATTGGACTGACCTCAAGTCACTGTCAAGGTCTAAGTCTGGAATCTCAGAGAGATGTGTTACTCTTGAACTATGCTTGAATATGGCTCCTTAGGCTTTGTTCCTTTGAGTCAGAATCAGTTAAATCAACTCCCAAAGACCCAATATTCAATAGAAAAGAGAAAGCAGGATAACAACAGTAAAACCTCTCATTTAGAAGACACCATAGTAGTCAGTGGTCCTATATCATATTGAGTCTATAATATACTCTGTTGAGTTTCCCTGGCTGAGAAGTGAGTTGGTTGGTCACCAGTCTGCCCCACGCTTGGTCTACTGAAACAGCTCCCTTTTCCTTTTCCAGTGTTTTCAGGGACCCAGTAGAGAGAAGTATAGGAAAGAAAGTCTTCTCTGAGCACTGTGCCGCTATCAGAGCTTCCCTGCTGTGGACTAGGTTACTGGAGCCTGGGAATCAGCTCAGCAATTGAGTTACCACATATTCCTCTCTGCTGGGTTCAAGTTTATTCTGGAAATTTATCTTCCTTAAAACTCTGCTAGACGGAATGGGCTTGATTTTTCAAAACTCTGAGAACTAACAACCAAGAATAGAAGTCTCCCTATAAGATAGTCCTTGAGGGCTGGGGTTGTGGCTCAGCGGTAGGTAGAGCATTTGCCTTTCATATGCGAGACCCTGGGTTCGATCCTCAGCACCACATAAAAATATATGAATAAAATAAAGGTATTGTGTCCAACTACAACTAAAAAATAAAAAAGAATGGATAGTCCTTAAATCTAGGTCTTATCTTTGCAGTTTCAGTCTTTAAGCGACAGTCTAAGAATACAGGACCCATTCAGCCTTAGTGGCTTCTGTCCAAGATTTGCTTAAATGACTTGACCTTTGATCTTGGCCAACATTGAAAAAACAAACAAAAAAAAAAACCTTAGCTATCTCTTGTTCTCAAGCAGTGTCTCTGGGGTAGTTCTTTACATTGGGTGAATCATTACCTTTCCTGGTTTTAGGATGTATAGCAAGAGGTGATTGGAAGGGACTTGGAACCACTCTTACAGAATTGGTTACCAGCACAGAGCCAGGCTGCTTAGCTTCCAATACAAACTCTCCTATTTACTAGCCCTGTGACCATATTGCATAAGTCATGTAGTTGCTATGTGCCTTATTGTCCTCATTTATAGAGTGGACATAATGGTATCTAGCACACAAAGTTTTCAAAAGGATGGAGTGAGAATGCATGAAAGACAGAACAATACCTGTCACATGGTAGTTCCTATGTGACAGCCATTTTTACCACTCTGTCCTTTTTTCTTTTTTTTAATTCTTTCTTATAATAGTTTCTAATAATAGTTTTCACCATTGTGCCTTTTTTTCATTTACTTCAGCAAGGGACTTCAGCTTTCTTATTTACACATGATTACTTGACCACCAATGAGCAGAAGGCAGAGGGAGGTGAGATAAGCCTAATTGATAACACCACCAGGGCCATGGTAACAGAGAAAGATTCCCCAGAGGAAAGAGTGGTTTCTGCAGACAAGGGGAAAAGGAGAGTATTGGAGACATTTTAAAAACTATCTAATGCAGCCCTTATTACTGCTTTGTGACATAGTATCTTGGGTTTAAATGCAGAGTCTGAAGATCCATGCGATTTTTCAGTGGCTGTTTGTTAGCAAAATCCCATGAAGATATGAAGGATTCAGGAAAACAAGGGACGAGAGCCAAGAAAAGACAGGGTCTCAGCTAAAGCCCACATTTGCCCTGAATCATGGACAGCTCTTGAGGAAAAAGAAAAAAAAATCAGGGGCTGGGGCTATAGCTCAGTGGTAGAGCACCTGCCCCTCAGGTGTGAGGCACTGGGTTCAATCCTCAACACCACATAAAAATAAATAAATAAATAAATAAATAAGGATATTGTGTCCATTTACAACTTAAAAAAAATCACATAGCAGAATTGTCCCCGACTTAGGCAAGGATGCTTATGGTTTTGAACCCCATACCAGTCAGTTACTGGTCCAGGGTGAGGATAATCTCAAGAGCAAGATGATCCTCATCTACCAAAGGGAGTCAATCAAGAGCAGGAAAATTTGTGAGTCAATCGCAGACAAAATTTATTGCTGCTGAGGTTTGAGTGCTTGGGCCTGGTAAAGAAGACATGGGAAAGCCACCAATAACATGTACTACAAATAATAAGCCATGACGATGATGATGGCTGTTATTTATTGAATACTTACTGAACTAGTAGTGAAAACTTACTGTGATTGGATTATCATATGTGGGCACTGCTTTGATTATTATTATTTTCTTTCTAAATACAGTGTATTTGGTGCAATGAAGAAAAGGTTTGCAAAAAATTTTGTTTTCCATTTGCTGGGTGTCCATTCAATTCTATATTTTGGTCAAACTGTAAAGGTGAGTTTTCCTTATTTAAATTTATATGTACTTTATTCCACCAACTTGCAAATAGTAGTGATTTGCTAATTTGAAGCATTTAAAACTATCCTGTTTATTTTTTTTTAAAGAGAGAGTGAGAGAGGAGAGAGAGAGAGAGAGAGAATTTTTAATATTTATTTTTCAGTTCTCGGCGGACACAACATCTTTGTTGGTATGTGGTGCTGAGGATCGAACCCGGGTCGCACGCATACCAGGCGAGCGCGCTACCGCTTGAGCCACATCCCCAGCCCCTATTTACTTTATTAAAACAGCAAATCCAGAGATGTACATCAGTGCTCCCTAGACCCCATACATGCTTATTGGTTGTTTCCAGCCAGTGTAGATTCAGATTATGAGCCACCATTTCAACTGGTGGATGTCTTGCCATCTGACTTGTTAAATACTTTAAATTTTATTTTTAAAAATTTCTGAGGTATGATATTCATAATCTAGTTCAGGGAGGTTTGTATTCTTATGTTGTTTTTGTATTCCAAGAGTTTCTCATAAGCGAGTTCTGGAACTAGGAAATCATTGAGCCCAATAGCACTATTATAACATATTTCCTCAGTGAATGTAGTCTATATTGAGAAATGCCCTTGAAAACCAGGACTCCCTAAGACTTCGCAAATGTCAATCATCCAAACATCTTTAAGTCATATTTGTACTGTCAAACTTTTGAGATGTTCTATAGAATGTATCAAGGTAGGAAAATATACCTGTATCTTTAGCTTTCCAAAAATTTGAAACAAAGACTTTCCATCTGAAACCCCAACTATATGAGAGAACCCATCCAGAACAACCAGCTATCTCTTTTTTCTTAATTGAAGTGAAAAGATACAATTTTGCCCTCAAGTCCCCAGTGACTTCAGGTACTATCAGGTCTATGTAAAGCACAGGTGTTTGCAGTTTATAAAGAAGCATTTAGTATGTATTTAGTATGAATAGAAACTCAAGTCTCCAAATTCATATTTTTTCCCTCCTAGTTTCATTTTACAATATAACAGTACAATAAGCTGCATAGTAGAGAGGAATAAAAAGTTTGTGAGAGTTGGAAATCTTCTTTCTTAGCAAGCCTGGGCTGAGTTTTTGATAATGAATCAAACAAAAAACCACATCATGATGTCTATGTGCATCCTTATAGAGTTAGTAATCTGAAAGATCTGCTATTTTATCTATTGAGAAAGTACCAAAAATGTAATTCAAGAAAAAATAATGGAGAAAAATAAATGAGAGCCTTAGTCATTTACCAAAATAGAGAAGATTTAAAGGTTACCTCCTTTTAGCACCCAGATTATTTTTAGATGTTGGTGATTATTGTATTAAATGCAGTTTCATTGGAATTTGTAATACATGTTATTTTATCATTATTTTCAATAATGATTTGTAATATGTATCTGATAGTCACATTACAAATGATAATAGAAAGGATAAAGATGTAAGAAATATTTTCTATTATTAAAATATATTTCTTTTCATATGTTTCAGTTGACATGTTTGGAATCGTGATGCTGATACTCACAGGAATATTATTGATAGCTTTTCTGTGGTATTGCTGTGCCTATTACCATTTTATTCATGAGTATGTTTATTTTATCCTTGTATTCTTATGTTGTTTTAGTATTCTAGGAGTTTCTTATAAGCAAGTCCTGGAACGAGGATATTATTGAGTCCAATAACACTATTATAATAGTTATAATGAAATTATAGCATAACACTTTGGAATACTATCAGTGAAGAGAATGCTAAGCTCAGTATTAGGAAATGTTTTATGCTTTTATGTCATAAAAGAATATATCCACACGGTAAGGATAAGTTAAAAAGTACAGAAATTATAGCTTGAAAAGAAAAAATAATTAATTTTCCTATTTCCAACAACTTCTTTCCAGATATTATCCTCTTAGTTACAAATGTCAATCATCAAAATATCTTTAAATCATATTTGTACTGTCAAACTTTTGAAATGTTACATAGAACGTACTTTGTACTTCTTTTGCTGGTTACTTCCTCTTATTTGAATTAGATGGTTATATCTTCTTTTCATGACTTCTTTTTTTTAAAATATTTTATTTTTTTTTAATAGTTGGACACAATACCATTTATTTTATTTATTTATTTTTATGTGGTGCTGAGGATAGAACCCAGGGCCTCACAGGTGCTAGGCAGTGCTCTACCGCTGGAGCCACAACCCCAGCCCTTTTTTTTTTTTAGTACCAGGAATTGAACCCAGGGGCACTCAACCACTGAACCAGATCACCACCCTTTTTAAAATTTCATTTAGAGACAGGGTCTCACGAAGTTAGTCAGGGCTTGCTAAATACCTGAGGATGGCTTTGAACTCAAGATCCTCCTGCCTCAGCCTCCCGAGCTGCTGGTATTACAGGTTTTTCATGACTTACTGACTTTACATGCTATTCATTGATTCCCCATCATGAAAGTTGAAGATTTTATCTTTCACTATCAATGTATTTTTTTATTATTTTGTTGTTAGTAGATAATATCATCTTTTTATTTGGAGATTTAAAATTATTATTTGTCATTGTTTGTGCTTATTAGAACTTAAGATCACTAATATTTCTTCTGCTGGCCATCTTGTGGATGGACTTTGAATAATCCATTTAACCTCTATTTTTATATCTCAGTACTTCTCCCATTATTTTTAAAATAAGTCAATTTGATCCCCTGTATTTTCTTACATTCATCCTTTCCTTCTATTTCTTAAATCCTGTAAACTTTCTCATTAATTTAACCCTGTCAAATGTGTAATATTTATGTTGTGTCCTGGGCTATAATTATCTTGAAGTGCTTACTCTATGGTTTGAGCATAATTTTTTTAAACTACTTAAGAGATTAAAACATATTATAATGGTTTAAATATTGTTCACTAAGGAACCAAAGTGGAAGTAGGAAACACAATGCTAAACTACTAGTTTGCATTGCTTCAAGTTGTCAAGACCAAGTGGATTCTCTTTTCTTATTCTCCATTTCTCAAGATCATGCTGCATTTCATCTTGCTTCATTCGTACACTGTGACTTTTCAATACAATTTCTGAATTTTCTACAGTTTATAACTATTTTAATTATTTCTTGTTAAAAATCCATGTATGTTTATTCCTACCACTTTGACCATTTGTCTTGTACTTAATAATATGTTTTCATTTTCTTCCAATGGGCATTCTTCTGAAAGTCCTCTGACATCAGGTTCTAACATACAAAAATTAGTAGAATTCTATTGATTATTCTACTGAATTAGGAGAACTTTTAGGTTCTCTTATCATCCTCATTTTAGTATTTTTTTCTCTTCCTATGGTACTTTATCATGTAATTTTGTTTCAAAAGGAGTTTGCCAAAGGTTTGGAAAATAATTCTGTAGTTCATATCTGCCTATAAATTTGGGTTTTTTCCCCTCCTAATGCTCAATATGGTTTTATTTTCTTTATTCAGATCATATATCTTTTATAAGAAGGACCCATAGATAAGATAGATAGAACCAAAGATAAAATAGGTGTCCACTAACAGGCTTAGGAAAAAATATAAGGACTGCCTAAATATTCTGCTTGTTTAAGACCTCCATTTTCGTCTATAAATTTGTATTTCTCCAGCTTCAAGATTTTCTGTTCTTTCCTTGTGAACATATAAGGACAAGATAGGATAAGATAGAAGATATTCCTTATTCTACACCCCACCTGCGCCTCCTTATTCTTTACCTCTAAAAAAAAAAAATAAGAAAGGTAGGAAAAGAAAGAGCTGTTGAACACATTACATTGTGGCAAGAGGCTGCTTTTTATTTACTTTTATTTTTATATTTTACTTCCAAGATCCTGACTTCTTGTGTAATCATTTTCTTTGTATTTATGCATAAAGTGGCAAATTTTACCCCTAAGAGTAGGGTGTTGAGCAAAGAGCCATCAGCAAAGCTTGGGGAGAGGTTGTTTGTTTTGCAGTACTAGGGATTGAACCCAGGGGCGCTCTAGCACTGAGCTATATTCCCTGTCCTTTTGTTGTTTTTATGTAAATTAGCCCATTTATTGTAGGCTAGGGATGTCTCAAATGGTAGAACTTCTTCTGGTTTTTCAATTCCTTCAGCCTTCTGATTGCAGACTTGACTGTGAGAGCGGAAGTGGTGTTGTAGGTCCAGGCATCACCAGCCACTGTTTTCAATGCAGGATCAGCACTGCCAGATCCCCACAGTGGGTCTCCTTCATCTTGGTTTAGACACAGAAGGAGCAGGTGTACTTGGCGTGCTGGCTGATTTCAAATTTCTTAACCATTTTCTGGAGGGAGGCACCGTAGCGGGTCCCATATTTACTAATAATTCCGACCTTCTTGGTGCGTTTAGCCTTGTCGCTGCGACTTAGGCCCCAGATAGGAGAGCCCCAGATGGGAGAGCCCCAGTCCTTTTTATTTTTTATTTTGAGACGTATTTTCCCTAAATCGCTGACACTAGCCTTGAACTTGTGATCCTCCCACCTCAGCGTCTGAGCAGCTAAAATTACAGGGAAGATTCTTTAATCTACAATTCAGAAGAAAAAAACATGAATCCTCTCTGCAAATACGGTTCAACAATTGCACTTAATTTTTGTTTAACTTAGTTATTCTCATACCATCTCTTCTGTTTGATTTTGTACTATAGATATTCTAGGCCTTGTTAATTAGGTGGAAACTGTATTCTGCTAGAAGAATTTATCCTAGTAAGGATTTATTGTACAACCAGAGAAGTGGAAAATCGTGTTCCATTTGTGTACTATGAATTGAAGTGCCTTCAGCTGTCATTATAACTAATTAGAACAAAAAAATTTTTTAAAAGATTTATTGTACTTTAAAATCCAATGATCTTGGTTGGCTTCTGGAAGCATCAGTCTGCTGGGCATGCAACTCAGTGGTAGAGTATTGCCTACCACATGCAAAGTGCTGAGGTCTATCCTCAGTGGTGCAAAAAAGAAATTTTTTTAAAAAATTCCTTGTAGAAACATCAGTCTTTCTTTTAAATAATACCCTTAAATGACCAATGAAGCATCAAAATATTGATTGCTGATTTGATATAATATTCTTGTTTTCAGCCATATAATTATAAACTCTAAAGCACATTTAAAAGTTCTAAATGTTAAGGGAATATAAATATTTGCCCACATACTTGGTGCCTCCTTGATTCTCATCTATTCCTTCTGAAAACCTTTGTTAAATACTCATTATGCACTAGGTAGTATCTTTGTCATTAAGGATGTAATGATAAAAAAGAAAGATCAAGGTCTGGGGTTGTGGCTCAGAGGTAGAGCGCTCACCTACCATGTGTGAGGCACTGGGTTCAATCCTTAGCACCACATAAAAATAAAGATTTTGTGTCCACCTATAACTAAAAGATAAATATTTTTTAAAAAAAGATCAAATCCTTTCTTTCACAGAGTTTACATTCTAGTAAGGGGATACAGAAAATAAAATAAATAATTGTTAAATTTATTACTAATAATTGATATTTTAAATGACATTCCATTTATTTTAATTGATTTTTTATAATCAAATGCTTTAATTCTTCTGTGGATAGATAAAAAGAGAATTCTATATTATAAAGCAAGGAAAACAAAATATTATATAAATGTACTCTAGCTAATAAAATAATTTTAACCCTAACTATTCTGAAAATAAGCCTAATTCTACATTCACCACTATTTTGAACAGATACAGAGCCAACATTTATTCAAGAGGAGTAACGGTTCCTGTAAACACTTGGGATGTTGGTGGCAAGTACTTCCATTTATTTTAGGGGATGTCCTGGGCCTTTCCAGTAACTGACAGTTGAAAATTCCTTCCTTACTTATTCTACCATCAAAATTAAAGTATGAATGGGAAACTTAACAGCAGATTTCATTGTTCTCATTTCTGAGACATACTCTTATAACTTCAATAGCTACACTAGAGCTGGTAAAAAAAATCACAATTTTGATGGAGAAGTGTTAAAATTTTTCAACTCAGTTGGGGATGTAATTGCTTCCTTTGTTCCTCAATTCATACTCAACCCAGAAAACTTAACAAAAACGACCATTGCCTTAAGGAATCTTTGCACACTTTCCCTAAATTAATTCACTTCATCTTACCTATTACCTTAGGTGACCCAGTGTCCACTCTTCAACTCAATTCTTTAATCTTTCTCTTAGTTATAAGGCTGTCCCTTACTCAAGACTCAACTCTTGGCTTCCTTTGGCTCATCACCCAGTTCCTGGGCCAGCCTATTGCCACTTTGCTGCTCAGGCTCAGATCCCAGAGCCCCAATTGGAGTCAGAACTGTGCCCCAATCCCACACCACCTGTTCATTTAAATGGACCTCAAAAATTTTTAGATAATATGATTGAGGAAAGGGTGCTATAAGGTCCTTTATCATTACCACTAGAAATAACTTTAGGGGGTTGGAGGTTACATCTAGATTATTATGGTGTTCTGGATCACAGAGACAAATGCTAAAAGCCTGGAACCACATTTTAGGTTCCAAAATTTGAGTGAAGAGCAGAGCTAACCTTGAAGGGCAAGGATGAAATATTGAGCACATACACACTCCATTGCCAACTCCTAGATCTTGTTATGTAGAAATTGTGTTGGTGATAATGGAATTATGAGATGTTTCAGAAAGCTATTTCAGAAGAGGAGCTAAAGTGCAGGCAATTGCTACTTTTTCGCAGAGGTGAAATCAAACCAGAAGACTACAGAGAATTTACTTTATTTAAGGGTTTTTTCCCCTCCATTTTAAATTCCACGAGAATTTGTAGGAGAAATGGTTGGAAAAGAACACAGGGTTGTATTCTTCTTTATTTTAGGTAGAAACAGCTTACAGATAGAGAACCATTAGTTATATTAGATCCATTATAAGGAATAAATGGTAATCGAATTCACAAGGCAAGATTATTTTCTATACTGCATTAAAGGGTTAATAAGGGAAAGAAAATCTTGCAAAATGAATTAGGAAAAAGATGAAAAAGCATGAGACAACAGTGTCATAGAGATCAAGAAAAGATGGTCTGAATGTGGAGGGAGACTCAGCATCTTTTGGAGTTACAATTGGCAGCCTATTTGCATATGACAGTCTTAAAAGTGCAAGCCAGAACTAGGAGACTTCTGACTTGTGGAGAAGCAAAGTATGGAACCTATAAGATGTTATATAGTATGTGTGTTATTAATCTGTGATGTTCCTCATTTACAAAGGGAACAATTTTCCAGGAGAGGTAGTAATAGCATTGCTCTTCATCCTCATTTCTTTCCTAGAAAATAAATTCAGAAGATGATTTGATAAAAGTAGAGATTCACTGATTATGCACAATTTTTTTTCTCACTGGAGACATCAAGTTTTGGGTTTACTTCAAATATTTGACCTTTTTTTCTTTGTCAAATTCACACCCAAGGTGATACTTACTTCCTTCAGGCATTTGAGCCCTAAATATTAAAATAACAATAAAATCTCAGAGTAGAAAAACTTTGATTGTCTATCAGTATTTTGTGGTTAACATATTTTCAAATTAGGTAAGTTTTTGTTGACTTTTGCTAGAAAGAATTGGAAAAGGTCAACTTATTTTCTCTTTTCATAGGATATGAGGAATAGATAACAGATCTTCCAGAGAAAGAAGAAGTGTCTTCAATGGTAAATTTCCCAAAGAGGATATCACATGAATTTCCTGCATGTAATCCACCCCCCATCTATTAAACAACTTTGCAGGAATGGAATTTGCATTATTAAGAAAGAAAATGGGAAATTAAATCTGTAAAATGTGGACAAATTTTCAATACCTGAACATTTAATAAAAGATGGCAGAAAATGAAGATACAATAGTGCCTAAATAAAGCTGTTTTAGAAATCTGAGTGTGCTTAGTGTAGCTAAATGTTGATTTAGGTTGTCTTTCCAAATACCAGCACTTCTTTTGATTTTGCACTAGTTCATTTGTTTTTACTGGAATCTTTACTATTTCTATTTTTTTCTAACTTTGCCCTTAATTTGTTATTTTCCAAGTTCTTTGATATTTAACTTTAGGCTGGTTTTTTGAGAGTCTTTTTCTTTAAATATTTATTTTTTAGGTGTAGATGGACACAACACAATGCCTTTATTTTTATGTGATGCTGAGTAGGGAACCCAGGTCCCGCCAGGGCTAGGCAAGCGCTGTACTGCCGAGCCACAATCCCAGTCTTTTTCAATGTGGTTGTAAGCGCACAGTACACAAGTGATGGAGGCAGGAGGAAGCAAACCTCAGATCAGCAAGCTTTCCTTTATTCTGCAGTGAAATCAATCCATCAGGAACAGGAGGGCTCATTTTCTGGGTATGGGAAATTCCCCCACCCCAGGTTACAGAAGGAGTTTGGGGTTTAGAGTTTACAATGAGGGTGAATTAATCATTGGAGACTGGGGGTGTGCAGTTTGGACAGTCAGGGATCTAGTTTTGCAGGTTAAAATTTTAACTTAGGAAGGCAGTTGTAAAAAGATTGAAACTCCTCATCACTGGGAAAGCTCACTACTCCTTCCGCTGGGACTCACTGTTACCGATAGCTTTACTATTTGCTTTTCTCCTTCCAGGACTCATGTGTAATGGGAAAGGGTATTTCAGTATTTGCCTCCTTCCTTCAGGACCCATTGTGATTTGGAAGGGGTGAATGTTTGCTTTTGGTGGAGATGGTGGGGATGAACCCAGGGAGGGATGAATGTTTGCTTTTTCCCTCAGGGTCCATTATTTCTGGGAAATGATGTACTGGGAGAGGTTTCTTGTTTAGCTAACTTTCCTCTCTCCTCCTCCACACCACACTGTCCCTACATTTTTCTTGGGGAGCTGTCTTGTAGGAATATTATTTTCCATTACCCTTCAGTGGTCACAAATTGCCATAAACTTCCCTTTTAGAACTACTTTTGTTGCACCCTCTACATTTTCATATGTTGTTTGTCTCAAGGTACTTTTTTATTTCCTTTAGATTTTTTTCTTTGATCTATTGGAGGTTCCAGAGGATGGATGTTCCTTGATTTCTACATATTAGTGCATTTCCCAGATTTCCCACTATTATTGATTTCTAGTTTCACACTATTGTGATAAGAAAACATAGTATGATTTCATTCTCCTTAATTTTTTTAAGACCTGTTTTGTGGCTGAATGGGGTCTGTCCTGGAGAATGTTTCATGTGTGTTTGAGAAGAGTATGTCTTCTGCTGCTCTTGAGCTTTGGTCTGAGTTGGAATCCAATGTTTCTTAATTTATTTCTGTCTGTTGAAAGTGAATTATTGAAGTCCCTTACTATTGTTATATTATTGTCTGTCCCTCCCTTTGGGTCTATTAAATATTTACTTTGTGTATTTAGGTTTGCCAATGTTGAATGGAGGTGTGTATGTATATGTGTGTGTGTGTATACACACACACACACACACACACACACCTGCACATACATGCACACATATATATATAATTCTTTTATTTGCTTCATGAATTTACCATTTTAACATTATATGGTTACTATATAGTGATAAATGGGTAAATTCATGAAGCAAATAAAAGAATTATATATATATATGTATACATATACACACACATACATATATATATATATAATTCTTTTATTTGCTTCATGAATTTATCCTTTTATCACTATATAGTAACCATATAATGCCAGCAGTGAATCCTTATCAATTATCTTGAGTGTAAAATGCATTAAATTCTCTATTCAAAAGACACAGAGTGGACTGGGGTGGTGGCAAAGCAGTAGAGCACTTGCCTAGCACACGTGAGGCACTGGGTTTGATCCTAAGCACCACATAAAAATAAAATAAAGGTTATTGTGTCTACCTTCAACCTAAAACAATTTTTTTTTAAAAAAAGATACAAAGTGGTCAAATGTATTAAACAAAACAAGAACCAAGTATGTGCTGTCTACAAGAGACTCACTTCACCTTTAAGGACACACATAGATTGAAAGTGAACGTATTGGAAAAGTCATTCCATGAAGATGAAAATCAAAAGAAAACAGTGCTAACTACACTAATATCAAACAAATTAGAATTTAAGTCAGAAACTATAAAGAAGACAAGCTTATTATATAAAAGTAAAGGACCAACATGAAGTCCATGGTTACACCAGTGATATGAGATGGAAATATTTTCATAAATTAAATTTCCATTTGCATTTATGTATATTTTTGTATGTCTACTAACTGATATTGATCTTCTGACTAATCATTCCTCAATACTATAATTGTTTCATTTTGAATACTATATAGGTTATTTTCATATTTATTAATAGAACTAAACTCCCCCCACCTCATATTACTCTTTCCATTTATTTTCTTACTTTTAATTTTAAGTCCAATAAAGATGAGTTGCTTATTCTAACTGATGCCAACGCTGGATATTTCACAAAATTAAACATTTAGTCTCCAGAAAAGATAATCCTTCTAGAATTCTCAGAGGTACTATATGCAAAGTAATTAATGAATAAACAACTGTTTTCTGATTGGTTTCATAGTGGTTGTCCTACTCTCTTTTGCTTCTTCCCTACTTTCCTTCCCCTCTCCTTCTCTCTCACTCCACTCCATTCCTTCTCTCTCTTTCTCTCCTTCCCTCAATCCCTTCCTCCTTCCTACCTTCCTTCTTTCTTTCCTTTTTTTTCTGAGACATACTTGCCAAACAAGAGCTCAATGTTAGGAGTTTTAAAAATGTTTGACTTCTTATTTTTCCATTGTTGTTTATGCCAGAGCATTTCATTTTGAAGCAAATAATTTTGCAGGGCTACAGAAGAGGAGTTTTCACACTACAGTTTACCCTCCAATAATCATTTAAAGCCTTTTAAATACATAAGGTAAAAAGCACAGCTTTAAATGGTTTTTGTTGAGATATTCTGTTCAAAATGAAACAGTTAAACACTAAAAGAACAGACCTGATATTTCAAGTCCATCTGTTTTGTTTGTTTGTTTTAGTTATAGTTGGACACAATACCTTTATTTTATTTTTACGTGGTGCTGAGGATTGAACCCAGTACCTCACACATGCTACGTGAGTGCTCTGCCGCTGAGCCACAACCCCAGCCCCTCAAGTCCATCTTTTACAAAGAGACTATTTTGAGAACCTAAAATTAGACATTGAAACGCACTACCATAAATTATAGAACTAGCTATGGATTTCCTTCATATCTTAATGGTAAAGTTTTAAAAAAGGTAGTGAACTCCATTGAGAGAAAATTGTTTTATCCAGCAATGGAGGAAACAGGTCTGTGAGGAGGGACAAGTAAGAAATCTAAAAAGACAAGGTATAGCAGGAAATGGGATGAGAGAAAGAGTTTGAAGAGAACAGCTGTCTTAAGTTTGTCTCCCTGAGAAATAGGCTGGATGGCAGAGGTTTGCCTTTAGGGGTTGAGAGGGGGATGCCCCCAGGAGTAACACATGTAAGGGAAAAACAGAAATAGACTTGGGCAGAAGAAGGGTTTGAACTGCCATATAATCACCAGAGAGGCCTTGATGGGTTATACGGGGAGCACTGGAACCAGGCTAGCCTTAGAGGTTGTCTCAAATGAAAGCAAGGTACGCAAACTTCCACTATCAGTAGATACAGGATGCCCTACAAAAGAGCTTAACTATGAGTGAAGTAGCTGGTTCCCTTTGACTGAAGGCAGTTTTCAAAAAGGGCCTGGCATCTGAAGTGAGTGCTTTGCTCCTGGAAAGGAGGTCTGGGCAGCATACCATGGCATCCACCACAGCATCTGTCATCCATCTAGGAGAGAGCATTGAAAGCAGTGATTCTGGGATGATGGGATTTTGAAACCGTCAACTATTCATTAAGAGCATACTCTTCCTGAGTCTCTTTAGCATTCTCTTTAGAGCCTAACCAAATCTTTAAATTCTTTCAATTATATCTTTTCATTTTGATTGAGTCTGTTTTTCTTTGAATTGACTGAATGCAGAAACCAAGCCACCTGTAACCACTTTTACATTCAAGTTAAAAAAGTTTGGATTAGAATTAATTGTGATGCTTACTGAGAAGAGGAAAATACATAAACATAAATTGGCAGATTTGCTAGACAAAAAAGGATAACTTAAAAATGGGGTGTTTTGGTGAAGTAGAAAAACAAAAACAGATCAAATGGGTCAGAGAATAGAAAACAGTAGAAGGATGTGTCTAGAAAGTATAATTCCCATCTAGAACAATAAGAGATGGAAGTTTTAACCAGGGACTCACCTAGGTTTTCTATAATGGGCCAGACAGTAAATATGTTAGACTTTCTGAGCCCTGTCATGAATACTTGCTAAACTACTAGTGCAAAAACAACTATACACAATTCATAAATGGATGCACATGTTTGTATTCCAATAAAGTTTTATTCATAAAAACATGCAGAGACCCATATTTAGTATGTGAGTCATAGTTTGTGAATCCATGACTTAGATAATAAAAATTATAACTGAATGGTTAAACAGTGTCCACTTAACTTGCTAAACTGTCTTATAACAAAATTTTTAAAGATGCCAAATAAAATTGCCATATGAAGATACAAAGAAAGAACCAGAATAAAGTTGCAAGTATGAAACCCACAGCCCCATCACTTTTGTCACACTGTGTGCATGCATGGCCTTTTAGCCCATGATTGAATACTTTTTTCATGCTTCACATTTGTATTCTTAATTCAGAAATACTCAGGTCTTTATACTTCTTTTTAGATATTTGGTTTCAATAATTAATCTAACCAACGTACAACCTGATAAGTCCAAATGAATTTTGCCAAACCCATCATAAGAAGTAGCTAATCTCATGGTAAGAAGAGTTGTAGGAACTCAAAGGGAATAGATTAGACTTGCAAAATGCACATGCATCAGGTGAGGGGTCTTGCCAGCTAATCTGTG